CCTAACAGTAATTGGTATTTTAAATTAATTAATTAATTATTATATCTAAAATCAATTAATATATAATAATATATTAACATTTAATTAATAATAACAATTCATTTAAATATATGCATACATATATTTAAATATAATCTCACGTATTTAATTTTAATATCAAATTAAATACAGGCAATAACCTCCGCAAATTTGATTACACTGTGAGATTTCCAAAATACCCTTTCGTCTTGAAAGACGAAAATACCCTTCTCACAAATTGATTCTTAAATTATCTTATAAGTGTGTGACTTATAGGCTCCTCATCATATCGGCGGTGTGTAATATTTCGATTAACACAAATTAATCGTCTCACTACACGCAGACCAAGATTGGCCTCTAGCAAGGCATCATGGCCACCTAATAGATTCGGATTCAGCGAAACCGCAGCCTATCAATGGTATGGTTACCGTGTAATCAAATCCTTTCATCAACTGTTATCTCATCGAGACTGAGGTACGAAAATAATGTCAACCTCAAATATCCTCAACATGTTTGTATTCAGTTACTGGACCAATGACAAGAATATTAAATTGGACTAAGCAACAACTCAATCCCATTGTGACCACAGATTTAGTGTCATTTCCATGTACTGAATTACCCAGTGAGTTAATTTTTCCCATACCCATGAGTGATGAATTCTTTGTCGATCCACCATAGCCTTGATACACACTTTGATGCAGTCAATCACTATCATATTGATAGCTCTAAATAGAACTACGTTGGGCTAGTGTCAAACTATACTAATCAGTGCACAAGGCGCTCCGGTGATCTTAAGTCTAAGGATCACAGGCACCACCATTCGTTAGAGGATTTATTTCATAGACATTGGGGTTACCATTCATGTGGAATCCTCTGGTGGGTCTGTCCAGTGAACTTGTCTACAGCAAGCACCCATGTGTCACACTAGGTTGTCAGCAAACAACCTTGACAAGTGAGATCAGTTACTGCCTTTCGATAGGGTTGTTCAACACTATGATAGCCTTATCGTATTATCTGTGTCCTTGGTCAAAATAATACTAAGGCTACGGACATTTCTAGAATGGCCATTATATGTGATCATAGGGTTCGCACTATCAAGATTTGAAACACTTGATACCCTCGTCACAGTTCTACCATCGTAAGGACATGTATTAATACATATGATATGATTTATGTGATATAGTGAATAATGCTTTTTATTGATTAATAAACATTATTACAAAGAGTTAATTCCATAATAATTGATTGGCTCTAGGGCACCTACTCCAACAGAACATCGTGAGGAGGTTACTCCACAATTTGTGGATCAAAATGAACCACCACAAGTAGCACCGGAGCTACTTAGGTCTAGGAGAGTACGTCGTGATCCTGAGAGATATGGTTTTCTCGTTACTCAATGTGGTGACGTGCTGGTTTACCAAGACAATGAACCCAGAACCTGCGATGTAGCTGTATCGGATCCAAATTCTGTTTAATGGTTTAAAGCCATAAAATCTGAGATGGACTCCATGTACCAAAACCAGTCATGGTTTTTGTTGGATTCACCTGAAGGGGTAAAACCCATAAGGTGTAAATGGGTCTTCAAGAAGAAGACTGACATGGATGGCAAGGTGTATACATATATAACACGATTGGTTGTCAAAGGTTTCAAACAAATTCATGGTATTGACTATGAAGAAACCTTTTGCTGGTTTCCATGATTAGATCCATCTAGATTATTCTTGTGATTGTTGCATATTATGATTGTGAAATTTGGCAAATGGATGTCCTAACTGCTTTCCTGAATGGAAACCTTGAGGAGGATGTGTATATGACACAACCCGATGGTTTCCTTCTCGATAGACAAGCTAATGACTTTGAGATTTGGCAAATGAATGTCATAGCTACTTTCCTGAATGCAAAACTTTGAAGAGGATGTGTATATGACACAACCCAATGGTTTCATTCTTGATGGAAAGGCTAATAAGATATGCAAGTTGCAGAGGTCCATATATGGACTCAAGCAAGCTTCAAGGAGCTGGAACATTCGTTTTGATGAAGCCATAAAAGAATTCGGTTTTATCAAGAATGAAGATGAGGTTTGTGTTTACAAGAAGGTAAGTAGGGGCGCAGTGTCATTCCTAGTGTTGCATGTCGATGACATACTTCTGATCGTGAATGACATACCGAACTTGTAGTCAGTAAAGACTTGGTTATCCAAGTGCTTCTCCATGAAAGACTTAGGAGAAACAGCCTACATTCTCAGAATGAAGATCTATCGTGATAGATCGGGTAAGTTGCTTAAACTAAGTCAGAGTACATAGACAAGGTACCAAACAGATTCAGTATGGAAGAATCCAAAAAGGGATTTCTTTCGATGACACATAGTGTCTATCTCTCTAAGGATATGTGTCTTTAACAACATGATGAGAGAGATAGAATGAAGAGGATCCCACATGTTTCAGCAAATAGATCCATCTTGTATGCTCAGATTGATATCTAATATGCATCAAGCACTTGTAGTGGACATCAATCACACTCAAGTGAGCAATGTCATGTTGTATGCTTGGATTGATGTTTCATGTGCATCAAGTACTTGTAGGGGATATCAATCGGATCCAAGTGAGCGATGCTGTGATTGCATGCCCGGACTGATATCTTATGTGCATTAAACACTTATAGAAGACATCAATAGGATCTAAGTGAGCAATATGTTATGTACTTAGATTGATGTCTTATGTGCATTCAACACTTGTAGAAGATATCAATCAGATCCAAGTGAGTGACATTGGATGAGTGTCAATGGACATCCTTAGTACTTGAAAAGGTTTAAGGATATATTCTTGGATTATGGAGAGGAAGATAAGCTCATTGTAAGAGGATACAGTGGTGCTATTTTCAAACAGATGAAGATGATTATAGTTCGCAATTTGGGATTGTATATTTTGTCTCAATGTAGTTGTAGTGAGCTGGAAGAGCTCGAATCAATGTACTGCAGTGGATTCTACAACTGATGCTAAGTATATCGCATTATTTAATGCAGCCGTGTAGGCGGTTTGGATCAAGAAATTCATTACTAAACTTGATGTGGTTCCAGGCATTACTGATCTAGTAAAATTCTATTGTGATAACAATGGAGCCATTGTTGTGGCCGAGGAACCACGATCACACCAGCAATCCAAACACTTACTTAGTTGATTCAATTTGATCTAAGAGATCGATTAGAAAAGGAATGTGTAGATTTGTAGAGTACCTACTAACCCACTATTGAAGTTTCTGTTGCAGCAGAAGCATTGGGCACTTGGGTCATTCGATTTTAAATGTATGAATGATTGACTATAGTGCAAGTGAGAGATTGTTGGAGTAGGTGCCCTAAAGCCAATCAATTATTGTGGAATTGACTCTTTGTAATAATGTTTATTAATCAATAAAAGGCATTATATTCTCTATCATGCAAACCAAAGTTGTATGTATTGATATATGTCCTTAGAATGGTAGAACCGTGACAAGGGTATCAAATGTTTCAAATCTTGATAGTGAGAACCCTATAAGAACATATGGTGGCCATTCTAGAAATGTCTATAGCCTCAATATTATTCTAACCAAGGGCACAGATAATACGGTAAGGCTATCATAGTGTTGAACGATCCTGTCGAAAGGCAATAACAGGTCTCACTTGTTAAGATTGTTTGCTGACAAGCTGGTGTAACACATGGATGTTTGCTATAGGCAAGTTCACTAGACTACCCCATCAGAGGATTCCATATAGATGGTAACCCTAGTGTCTATGGAACAAGTCCTCTAACGAATGATGGTGCATGTGATCCTTAGACTTAAGATCACTAGAGTGCCTTGTGCACTGATTGGTGTAGTTTGACACTAGTCCAACGTAGTTCTATTCAGAATTGTTAATACGGTAGTGATTGACTGCATTGAGGAATAGATCAAGATTATGGTAGATCGACAGAGGATTCATCACTCCCGGATACGGGAGAAGTTATCTTATAGTGCAGTTCAATTAATGACAATACAATAAATCTATGATCACAATGGGATTGAGTTGTTGCTCAATCCAATTCATTATTCTAGTCATTGATCCAATAACTGAATACAAATATATCGAGAGTAAACTGAGGTTAACACTATTTCTATACCCCAGTCTCGTTGAGATAAAAAGATGATGAAAGGATGGAATTGTACGGTAACCATATCATTGTTAGGTAGTTGTTTCGTTGAATCTGAATCTATCGGGTGGCCATGATGTCTTGCTAAGGGCCAATCTTGGTCTGTGTGTAGTGAGACGATTAATTGGTGTTAATTGCGATACTACATACTACCAGTATGATGAGGAGCCTACATGTTACACACATAGAAGATAATTTAAGAATCAGTTTGTGCAAGGGCGTTTTCGTCTTTTAGGGCGAAAGGGTATTTTGGTAATCTCACAGTGCAATTATATTTGCTGAGGTGGTTGCTTAAATTTAATTTGATATTAAAATTAAATAAATGAGATTATATTTAAATATATGTACACATATATTTAATTTGATTATTATTATTAATTAAATATTAATGTATTTCTGTAAATACATTAATTGCGTTTAATTGAAAATTATAATAATTAAAATTAAAATATCATAATTGGGAGTGTTTAGACATATGGGGCTGTTTGGGTTGAAGCCCAAACCTATTCCTTACTGGAAAAGGGTTTTATGTGCACTATAAAAGTGCAATGTTATGTGAATTAAAGTAAGGGAATTCATTCAATCATTTTCATTGAAAGAAAAGAAATACAGCCCTCTCCCAAGTCTCACGCTATCTTCATTCTTTGAATCAAAGTCTCTTTGATTCTTGATTTGGTTCTTGAAGCTAAAAAGGATCTAGCAAATCCATCTTTAGCTCTTCGAGTTATCTTCGTGTGGATTACCACTGGTTCAATCCTGCTCTTAGATCGGTAGCGAAGCCAAAGAAGACAAGTTTGAAGAAGCCTCCAAACGTGCGTATAAATTCTAAAGTTTACTCTGATCGTTCATAATACTGCAGATTTTGATTTAACATATAAATTGTATAATATGTGCCTTAATCTTAGCTTAATGGGAACGATCTGTGCTTTAAAATTTTTGTTTTTCGTTGCCATGAGTTAGATCGTTTCCTAACAAGAACTGTATGACGCTCAATGGTGTTTATGAAGTTAACATGACTCACACTTAAAATGTGACACTGACTCTAAACTGGGACACAATTTCTTCAAGATTGGGAGAGGAGGATGTCCTAATCGACCGTGGAAGATGGACATGGATGAATCACTAGTACAAGCAACAGGCTATGGCACTGGAGTAGAAATGTCAGCAAGCACGTACAAGCCACCCAAAACATGACCCCTACCAATAATCCGCTTCATCCCAAGATCCTGAAAGACACAATGAGAAGGGAAAAAATAAAAACCACAGTTAAATGTATTAGTGATATGACTCACAGACAATAAATTAAAAGGAAAGTAAAGAAGACACAAAACAAAGAAGAGCGATATAGATTTGGTGGGATTAGCAATACCACACTATAATAGACACAGTAGACCCATTTGCTAAAGTAACTGAAGACAAATCAGAAGATGATGTGAATGACGAAAGGATACCTGTATCACTTATCATATTGTGAGTAACACCAGAATCAATGACCCAATTGCAACTAGAAGTAGACAACAAGCTCTAGGATTACCTAACTGTGTCAATGTAGCAACAGTCGATGGAATGGATGACAGAAGACTAGCAACCTGTGTGAGGCAAGCATACTCATCAGCAGGAATAGTAACCATGGAAGGAGTAGGTAAGAGACCATCTTTAGTGGCAACATAGGCATATCTTTTAGACCCTTGCCCATTCCGAGGCTTTCCATGAAGTTTCAACAATGCCTTTTTACATGTCCCTCAGTACCACAAAGCCTAGTTAGTAAATACGGGTACGGCAAAAAAACGGTACGGGAATTATACGGGTATAATACGGTAAACGGTGAAAAATACGTTTATAAAAATTCGGCCATAAAATTCGGATACGGGAAAAATACGGTACGGGTATATACAGGTTTAATACGATGCATTGTCAATAATACGTTTTGAAAAATACGGCAATATCAATCTTAGTTTTAACACTTTTATGGACTACGTAGTTAAAATCAACAGAACATTTCAAATGCAAAGTATTCAATTAACCAATAACACAAATACACAGTATATAAAAACATCTAAAATTGACATCAACACTTCACATTACACAGATTATATAAAAATATAATATAGATATGAACTTAACAAGGTACTGAAAATTTTTCACAAGCAAGCAGCTACCAAAGTTTTACTGCTTGGCTTGAGGGAGAATGTTAGAGTATTACAAGGCAGCTGGAGTTTTACAATTGATCAATGGTGGAGATGCTAGAAGAATGATCAACGGTGGAGATGTTATTTTGTAAAGGATGGCCAACGTGGCTGATGCTTGTATAAAAGAGATTTAATATCAATTGAAAAAGTTAAGCAAATAAAAAATAAGTTTTAGGTCTGGAAAGATTCAACATTTTCTCTCTCTCTCTTTCTTTTCTGAAATTTCTGTTTGGTTCTTGAGAAAGTTTCGCAACTTTCAAATCTTTTTCTTTTTCTTGATCCTAGGACTCTATTACTTTGTAGAGCATGCTGCTGTTGTTCTTACACTATATGCCTTTAGCAAACTACAAGAAGAGCTTGTTTTGGCTCCACAATATGCATCACTTATGGTGGATCAGACTTATTTTATTGTGAGACACCATACAGACGTTGATGGAGGGTGCAAAGTAGTCTGGATCCCACATGATGACTTCATTAGCTGCAGCTGCCATTTGTTTGAGTTTTCTGGAATCCTTTGAAGAAATGTTCTTCATGTTCTATCAACGAACAACTGTTTCCACATTCCAGACCGTTGTTTGCCCACCCGTTGGCGTAATATCAACTGTTTCCACATTCCAATGATGGGAGCTGATGATTTGAATAGAGATGGGCTGAGTTCTGTAGGATGAATGTATATGGGTAGAAGAAATATGGGCTTACGCTCATACAAAAATATTAGAAACTTTTTTTCCACATTTTTTTTCCACTTCTTATTTGTAGAAGAACTGAGGAAGATAAGCTGAAGAAGAACTGTTGCTGACCGCGGAAGAACCGAAGAAGAACGACTGAACCAAATCTGTTTTAATTTTTTGTATAAACCCACCAAAACGACGTCGTTTTGGGGGTGTGAGATTTTGTTTTTTTTTTTTTTTCAAAAATTCGCGAATAATTCGCGAATTATACGGGAACCCTTATTATACGCGAATTATACGGCAGATTTTATAAAATACGTATACGTGCGTTTTATACGCGAATTATACGGCTGTCCGTACAATTCGCGTATAATACGCGTTTTTACTAACTAGGCCACAAAGGAAACAAATGCAAGTAACAGAAATTTCAATCACCCCCTGTTTACTTATGTCTGCCATAGCGTAATCAAACAATAAAACAAAATTCACCAAGCTTGGAGACAAAACCCCAAATCACCAATGACTAATCACCAATAACCAACATTTAGCAATAAAAAATCAGTCACTGGCAATCACCACTTCACAACCAGTTCACCACTCAAACGCAAATCAATAGAATAAATAATAAGAATATATCCCACAACTACAATGAATCACTGCCAAATCAAACACCACATCCAGAATAGTCAAAAAGCAAACACCAGGCACTATTGAATAAACCCAAATCACCAAATCCACAACAAATCAAATCCCAAAATAATAACCCAATCTGACCAAAATCTGACCAAGCATCAAAACACCAACAAATCAACACTAGAACATAAACTGATACAATTCACCAGAAAAAAAAGAGATAAGAAGTCACCGGAATTGTAGAATAAAGTCACCGGCCATTGAGATCACAACTAGAAACCAGACTAGAAGTTGTTTGTACCAAACTCGCAAAAAACAAACCAAATCTGAACAGAGGGCAATGAACCCGCAAAGAATAGACCAAATCGAAACAGAGAAACGAGATCGGAGAAAGAGAGAATAGCTAGAGATGAATAGAGAATAAATCTGGATGAGTAGAAAACAGATTGGTGATTATCGGTCGTCGAAACACTGAAAACTGACATGAACCAAGATTGCTGGCCGTTGGAAAAATCAAACCGATCGGAACACTATCGGCTCTAATAACATGTTTGTAGAAAAGTAATCCCTTTTACTAAGCATTTCATTAATTAAAAAATGCAAAATACAGGCTAATATATTTACTCTATCACAATTACATAATTACCCTTAACTTATATTTACACTATTTCTAATAGTTTAAAAAGCCGACCCATTGAGATACCCGTCAAGGTGATTGGGTCATGGGTTAATCGGTCCAATTGGTTGGATCAGTGACAACAGCAATAAACATATTTTTTAAAAATTATAATTAGTCTCTTAAATTTAAACATATTACACAAATACCCTTACAAAATTACAAATTAGGCTCTAAATTTTAATTTATTTTAAAATGCCCCAAAAATTTAGCAGTCCCTAAAATTTTGTAAAATTCTAAAACACCCCCAAAAAAAATACAATCTAGTCCCCACACCTTTGAAAAATGTCAAAAAACCCCTGGACCCTAAACTAGACCGAAGAGACTACCGAGTCCCAGTCTAGGTTTTAAAACAATGGTATGGTCACATCTATATATTTATAAAAATCTTGAGACATGGGCTATTTGATTGCCATGTAGGATTTTTAAAGCTCTAAAATTGGTGGATTTTGACATGATAGATGATTGTTCGACACGTGGCTGCATATAATTGGTGATGACGTGGATATGTGGATGTGTAAGATTTTTGGTTACATGTGGCTTAATGTAATTGGTTTTTTATTTTATTTTTTGTAGTAATTATACTTTATTGGGCATCCTAAAGGTCTAATTAAAACTTTGTTAATGGGTGAATGTGTTTAATCCCTTCACATTCACATAAATACAAACCCTTCATATTCACATTAAATATTATTTGTGTGAAAATTAATAAATAAAGAACAATTAATCTTAATCTAATCCAATCTCCTCATCAAATGATCAATGTTCACAACAAGGGTTGAGTGTCATCTGTTCATCATCTTTGTATCTTCATAATCACCATCACCATCTCCTTTTGCTTTTGTTTCTGATTCTATAGTTCTATTTTTATATGTATATGCAGCAAATATGTTTCTTTTCTTCTTTTGGTGTTGATTTCAGGTATACCTAGGGCTGTTAACGAGCCAGCCAAGCCGAGTTTTTGGCTTAACGAGCTCGACTCGTGAAAAGGAAGAAGAATCTAAGTCGAGCAAAACCTCTAATTTCCTGACTCGGCTCGACTCGTAAAGAGAGAAAAAGATTTCTAACCTAGCTCGCAAGCCAACTTAACAAGCCAAGTTAGAGCCGGCTCGTGAGCCAGTAAAAAGCATGCAATTTTTTTTTTAATTCGGTGCTGATTTTCTCTCTCTCATTTATTACTCTTTCTCTATCACTTCTTTTCCCCTCTAATTTATTATTACTCTTTCTCTTCTTTTCTCTCTCTAGAGACTCCAATGACTCACATTTCTCTCTTTTTTTTTTTCCCTTTCTTTCTTTCTTTCTTTCTCCCTGTTTCCCTTACTCTCTCCAGTCTCCACCAACTCTGAAGTTATTCTATTCCTCCTCTTTTGTTACTTATTACTCTTTGCTTTCTCTGCTTTTCTCTCTCTCTAATGACGCTTGTTTCTCCTATTTTCTCTTTCCTTCCTTCTTTCTCCTTTTTTCCTATTTTCTCTTTCTTTCTTTCATTCTTTCTCCTTTTTTCCCCTGCACTCTCCACCAACTCTGATTTCTTTCCTCCTTTCTCCTTGTTTCCCTACACTCTCCACCAAATCTGATTTCTAAAATTGCCTAAAATGGTTTGGTTTGGTTTGGTTTTAAGGAAAAGGATTTTAGTCGCGTTTTCAGGGATTTTGACATCGGGGTGTTCTTTGTCATTTTTGCAAACTTTTTGTTTTAAAAATTTTAGTTTAATCCCCTATACTTAATAAAACCCCTAAAATGCCCTTAATAATTCGAGCTTGGCTCAACTCGTGAGCCTAACGAGTCGAGCCGAGCCAAGGCAGGCTCGAACTCGGCTAGTGCTGTCTCACGAATCGAGCCGAGCTGGCTCGATTCCAGACGAGGCGAGCCGTACTCGAGCCCAGCCAAGTCGGCTCGCGAGCGGCTCGCCTCGTTGAACAGCCCTAGGTATACCCAAAGGTTGAGCACAAGAAGCACAAATCATTTCATTGCCTCCTTACAGTGATTTTGCTCGCTGCAGCTTTCTTCGTGGGGAGTGCCTTTGTAGTCTCAAACTGTAAAGAGATATCAATAGAATTCTCCTATGAACTTATTAGAAAGTTGATGTCATTGACTAATCTGTATGCATCAACTTAAAAGTAACAAAAAAGTAGAGATGGATGAAGTGGTTATGTGTGAAGAGTAATGCTATAGTTACCAACTGGTGTGTACCGATTTTGTACACCGAATGATGTGGCACAATCCTGACCGTTTATTTATTATCAGTTAATATTAATCAATGGTCAGGATCTTGCCACGTCATTCAGTGCACAAAATCGGTATACACCAGTCGATAAGTCTATCATTTTCCATGTGTGAAATAAGCAGCCAAAAAAAAAGAATTGTGCTGTACTACTTCTGATGACTACCTTTCTGCAATAGTCAAATCATATTTATTTATACTTAAATGGATATGTTAAAAGAAGACAATACAACCCATAGTGAAATTGTCTTCTTTATCATATCTTTTTATGGCTTCACATCACACGTCATGCATGCGTGCATGCTAACCACTTTGACAGTTTTCGATGGGGAGTGCTTTCAAGGTCTAAGATGTGTGAGGTTGTCTATTTTCTTCTGTTTTCTTAGGAATACTGTATGCAGTGAGTAGCTTTAGCTTTTGATGATTTGTTATTGTATGCATTCAGGCTCAAGACAGGCTATACAGAAGCAAGACGCTACCTAAAGCCACTTTCATAAACAACCCATGCAATGCGCATTCTTTCACCTAGTTTAACTGATAAAACCAAAACCTTCTTCGCAATTGAATAGATCCTTGCAAAGAAAATTTTCACACTAATGTCAAGAAGGAATCTCCACGGCCCATTATTATTAAATTACAGTTGGTTCGGGTAAACAGTATGATATATTATATTACCAAAATTGGTTAAGAATGATTGATAAAAGACAAATAGACTATCTATCTTAAAGCCAAAGGGGCTCTGTTTTGTCTTTCCTCTTTCTCCAAATTGTTGCAACTTGCAAGAACAAATTCTTGTTCGCTTTAACTGACTTGTCGAATCAATCGCTAACCAGAAAAAAGTAAAAAGATAAAGACAAAAAGCACTTAAACACCAATCTTCGACACAGCATTGAGACAAAAATAAATAAATAAATAAATAAAAATAAAAATAAAAAAGATGCCTGTAATGATATATTTCTGGAAATTTCAGTTGACAACTTGGTAAGAAATCCACTGAATTCTTGGCAAACTGGAGCGAATGGTACACCGTGTATTTCCAACGTGGTTGAAATTACACTGGTCAACGCCTTCTCTATGCACCGCGGTGTGAAACTGTATAAAATGCAATAGCTGGAAGCTATGGGGACTCATTGTGAACCCAAAAGGGGAAGGGGAAAAGAAAATTTTCACCCTTCTTCTACCGTTTCCCAAAAGAATACCATGAAATACAAGTTGATGTTGAGAAGTTTCTCTCGAAAGTATATGAACGTTTTTTACGGATGACAGAGAGACAAGTCAAGCCAATGGATATCACGGTGTTCTCATCGAATCTTGTCGCCTTAGAGGGATGCCTTCAGATCCGAAACCATCCTCGTCTGCGTGCTTAGGTAACCGCAAAGACATAGATGTTGTCAAACCTGTACCTGCTTTCGTAACGTCAATTTAAAAATCCGGAATGTAAAAAACTAATTCTAATAAAAACTAATCTTAAATTTATAAGAAAAAAAAACAATTGTGAGAATGATAAATTGAGAGAACGATAACAAGAGCATACCATCACCCATATCCTTGGTTTTGTGAAGAAGAAACGTTCCAGAAAGGATTGTCACGAACCCACACATTTCTGTGACAATCTGCGTTGGATTCTGCCTATCCCAATCCTGATGAAAGAAAGAAAACTAATCAAATTCAATCCAAGAAAATTTCCCAGTCAGTGGGTGGAGGATGATTATGCAAACCATATAAAAAGAAAACAAGAGATTATTAAGAGGGTCCAATCTGATGAAATACATTACACTTGTCTTACATTTGTGGATTTATGCAAACTCATGCTGATATTCAAACACAGACCATTATGAAATATATTTTGCAACACATGAAATATTCAAATCATTAGCTAGTTTGCATTGCTCTAAGGATCTACTTCCAATGAGTTATGGAATTTCCATCAAGGGAGGAGAGAAAGGAGAATTAATTATAAAGATGATTTAAAATAAAAATAAAATAGGTTTAATACAAGGAAAAGGGGAATGTTCAAATCGATTGGGGTATATAGAGAAATTAAGACTATTCAAAAAAAAAAAAAAAAAAAAATTACTGGAGGTTATTTAGATATGGGGTCTGATTAGATAAAATATGGGTGCTACTCTTTTTTTAACAAACCCAATCACTTTATACACATAAAGAGACTCAATTAGCAAAGAATCCGCACAACCAAAATGAGCAATCAGTTCAGACAGGGTAAGAGTGAAGGAGTTTGGGGAAAAGGTTTGTTGGACTAGCTTAACTTTCAAGATTTTAATAAAGAGCCAGTAGCTAGCATCTCAACTCTAATAAAATAATACATTAATTATACTACAAGTAGCCAGACTGAAGAATTTACCTTAAACATGATCACACTAGCCAAAATGGTAAGTGATGTGAACATGACATAGTAAATGGGAGATACAACTGCTGTGTTAAAAGTGTCAAGCGCCTGCATTAGCAACAACAAAAATGAATGATCAAGGAAATCATAAAGACCAAAAAAAATGAAACCACCAGAACTTGACAGGGTTGGGGTGAGGACGAGAGATGAAGTGATGATGCAAATTCAAGGATGGTTTTATTGAGGTCCATGCAAGTACGGATTGAAGCCCTAATTCAAGGTCCAACCCTCAAAAGAATACATATACTTTCAAGTTTTAAGGATAGGAATTTGACAGACAAGTGCTAAATCTAGCTACTCAAATTATCAAACATTCTGTCACAACATTGATGTCTCACATTCCTGAATACAATATATAACCAAGTAGACCAAAGTGCTGGGTTGTCATAGTAATAATGATATAAACATCCTGGCAACCACAGCATTGACTCGCTCATGTGCCTCCACTAAGAAAATTTTAATTTTCTTTGCAAAAGGGGGTCAATCTTCTAGTTGTTATCCAACAATAAAGCCACAAAACTGGTAAATCCTTCCAGACCACCAGTTTTCCATGAAAGTTGCTAGGAAGGCAATTCTTGCAACCAGTCCTGGATAGTAAGTGTATGCAATCGTGAATTCCAAAATAAAAGTAGTCCAATATCATAAAGCTCATGAGAACTCAACTCAAGCAAAACAAATAGGGCAATAGTCTTGAGAGAATTCCATTGCACAACCTATCCTTTATAAACTGCATAAGGTTTGCTCAGCACAAGATTCTAGAAATTACCCTGCCCTACCAAACTGCAAAACCTTATATCTGATCACTGCCAACTGCCCACAATCTAATCAATCCCAGTCCATACCACAACAATCTACAGTGACCTCAGTTATCTACACTGCACCTCCCCCAGTCTACAAAAAAACCCTATTCATCACGACAAATTAATAAAATCCAATTCTCTATAACCTTACTATGCATGCCTCCATACAATTACATCAATTCATGGCATCTGGTAACACATCTAGCGCATGTAATAGACATGTGTTGCATCACAAACCAAAAACACGTTAACATTGCTAAAGAAAGAAATGTAGGGTCTATTACACTGTAACCAAGACATTCTTTGAACAACCTGAACCTTTATGCTCGGCCTAAACCTGAAGAAAGCAATCCCCAGAATAGCCAGGCAGAAGGGGATGAATATGTGATCAAAGATCCATCAATAAACCATTTCACAATTCCTCAAGTTCTTTTGGAAAATCTCATGCAGCCCCAGTATGACTAAGAAAGCCAGGGAAGTTTATATATCACTCAACTCAAGATTCCAATCTAATATTGAAAACCAGAAGATGTGAAAGAAAACAAAAGTCATGTAATTGAAAGTTATAAAACTTCTTCTCAAATCAACATATTCACTTATTCACATAGAGTACACACCTATGCTAAGCCAACTTGATAATCTTACAGCAAGGATGCCTCCTGAGGACATTTGCAGATAGACCACTACAGAATCAGCAAGATCTATTACCCAGATAATTACTAGGTTGCTTTATTTTATCAGACCCATCATTATCCAATGCGAGTAGAAATTTTCAGGCAAAGCATAAGCGAAGTTTGTCACAAACATAACCACAAGGACTTTTCTAAAATCAAGACTTCTCATCATCATCTCTTCATCCCTATTTTGTTTTAGAAATCACCTATAAAGGCTTTTTGTCTCATTTCCAAGATATATCATGGCTTTTAATACTTTTCTTATTTTCTTTCAAGTAGCCTTTCTCATTTGATAAAAGGGCCATTCAGTTTCCAGCTTGAATAACTTAACAAAAGAAGCATTTTGAACCCCCTAGAGTAATATATCAATACAGACAAGGACCACAAGCTTGTGCATCAGGAGAATAACCTTTCAAGTTTATCGAGCATAAATAAGAACAAAGAAGAAACGGTCATTACCTTGTTCAAATAATTCATTTGGGTAATCACACAAGTAATTACAATTAGAGTGAATGCCCATGTTTGGGGATATATTAGCTGATTCATTCCAGACAATGTTAACTTCAGAGCAATTCCTAGAGCTTTAACACTCATAACCTGTCAAAAAACACTACGATTACAAACACTAGACAGGAAATGCTTGGCTAAACATAACACAAATTACCAAAAACCAAGTACCAAGTACCAATACATACCGACAATGAACCTACAAGAGAACAGATTCCAATATAAACCATTATGTGTGTCTGACCATACTCTGGGATAAATTGGAATATAAGGATAAATACAGCTGTTGTGACCAAAGCCGCATACAAGAGAAAAGCTGGAAAGAGGAAAAGAATGTCATCAAATTCATTGATCTGCAATTTAAACAATAACTGAAGGCAAGAATGGATAAATAGACGAATATTTTAAGGAAAATAAACACCTGGCTCTGTAGCAAGATTCCAAACTTCTATTACAGATTCAATCTCACGTTCTTGAGGAGCATGCAGCACAATTGTTGTGGAGCCCACAACACAAAGTGCACAACCAAGAATACCAAAAATATGTAGTCTCTCACGTAAAATGATATGAGCAAGAACAGCACTGCAAGAGAACACCATACTCAACACCATCACCAGCAAATCAAACCTAAACTTGGAGGGGCTTTTCTCTGTACCTGATAATAATGCTGAGAGCACCAAGCGGTGTAACTAATATAGCAGGTGCAAATGCATAAGCAGCAAAATTAGCAATTTCCCCGACAATCACTGTAAAATTAGCAATTGCCCATCAGAATAATCATTCTTCAGAACAACCATAAATTGCAATCAACCCACATGGTTAACTCAATCCAGAAATCAAAATTAGCAACTTTTTCGATTAATTTCAATAAATTAACATAGGACATTAATAAGGAAACTGTTATGTCGACTCAAAATTCAATTTACACTCTTAAGTTCTCACAATCAAGTCATCCAAGAGGCCCATAAAGAATAAAATTTATAATATAGTAAAACCTCTCTATAGTCATAATGTTGGGACCAACAAAATTTATTACTATAAAGAGGTTATAACTTAATAGAGGTGCAATTACAAGAATTATTATTTTGATTCAAAAATTATTGTTTTAATTTCTTATTTTATAATTCATGTTTTAGTAGTATTAAGATTTCAATTCATTGTTTTAATAGCATTAGGATAGTAACGGAAATGGATATCAAAGAGTCATTGCGAAATTGAGTGATAAAATTCGACAACTTCACTATAATCAAATGGATATTAATGTCTTCATCAATCATCCAAATGAGCAACAAGTCGTGTATGTTTTAATTAAAGAAGAAATCATTACTAGAATTAGACAAGAAGAGTAAGGAGATAATCTAAGGATGATAGCATAAAAATACCAAAAGTTTCGTGTCAAAAAGCTCTAAACATGTTTGAGAAGTTAGAAATATTTTGGCTTCAACAAGAAAGTGTCTATGTTGCGGACTTATTAGGTACCCGAAAGATAAAAAATATGGTAAAAACTTTAAAACATAAATTAATTTCCCAAACAACTTTAGATAAATATTTTATTTCATCTTAAACCTTTAATGTAAAACAACATATATTTTTTGCAATATACATATAATTATTACTATATAGAGACAAATTCCTTAAGATGAGATCTAGAAAAATTATAACTTATTACAATGTGAAATTTATTCTTATTTATAACTGGCCTAAGTTGGGATTAAAATTTTTTATGACTACATGGAGGTTATTCCTATATAAAGTATAACTATAAAGAGGTTCTACTGTATATTTTCTATTGCACTAATTTACACTCAATGAAAGAGAAAATCAAACAAAATTTCTGGATGGTGATAAGTGAAGAAAAAATAGTCAGATTAAACTCACTTGTTATCATGCCCACCCACCATAGTGGCTCATACAAGTAAGAATAGCCTCCAACCCCTGCAAAACAATCAGCGATTCAATTTTAGAGGAACTCTAGTCGAGATAAAAGCAAAAGTACAGTAACTGCTCAAGAAAACTAATACACATACTTCTTGAGCACATCACCATAAGATCATTGCATAGTATAAGCAAATAATTATCACAAATTTACACAATTAAAAAGTAAATTAAGTCCAAAAATCATAAATCATCAAACCAATTTTTTCAAAATAAGCAGCATGTCAGAACCTGAGTATGTCTATTTTTCGAAGGCACATGAACTTCTCTCGTGAACATAATTCATTTATACAAGATACAGATTAGAAAGACTATTCCTTTAGCACATCTATCAAGTATCAAAAGAGAATTAAGATGCGATAAAAATAAGACAAACCCAACAAAATTAAGACAATCTCTTCAAGTTATCGTTCCATTCGATGCAAAAAAGCTATAATTGGATATCGCCACATAAAAACAGTTTCAGATTCAGGTTCACTACATCAAGATATCATTTCCCATATTTTACAACATTTTTCAAAGAAAGACAAAGTACCACTGTACCAACAGAACTTTCCTAAAATTAAGCCCACAAATTTTCATGTTACTAAATACCTAACAGTTCAAAACCACAAAGAAAACAAAACAAATGCCGCCCATAACGCCGTACCAAGTGAAAAGAACGCCAAGACAAGTCAACTGGTACCGGTCCAGTAACGTCACCGGGGCAATTACAACACAAAAATTAATTAATTAATTAAAAAAATAAACGAAATTAATCAAACNAGAGGTTCTACTGTATATTTTCTATTGCACTAATTTACACTCAATGAAAGAGAAAATCAAACAAAATTACTGGATGGTGATAAGTGAAGAAAAAATAGTCAGATTAAACTCACTTGTTATCATGCCCACCCACCATAGTGGCTCATACAAGTAAGAATAGCCTCCAACCCCTGCAAAACAATCAGCGATTCAATTTTAGAGGAACTCTAGTCGAGATAAAAGCAAAAGTACAGTAACTGCTCAAGAAAACTAATACATATACTTCTTGAGAACATCACCATAAGATCATTGCATAGTATAAGCAAATAATTATCACAAATTTACACAATTAAAAAGTAAATTAAGTCCAAAAATCATAAATAATCAAACCAATTTTTTCAAAATAAGCAGCATGTCAGAACCTGAGTATGTCTATTTTTCGAAGGCACATGAACTTCTCTCGTGAACATAATTCATTTATACAAGATACAGATTAGAAAGACTATTCCTTTAGCACATCTATCAAGTATCAAAAGAGAATTAAGATGCGATAAAAATAAGACAAACCCAACAAAATTAAGACAATCTCTTCAAGTTATCGTTCCATTCGATGCAAAAAAGCTATAATTGGATATCGCCACATAAAAACAGTTTCAGGTTCAGGTTCACTACATCAAGATATCATTTCCCATATTTTACTACATTTTTCAAAGAAAGACAAAGTACCACTGTACCAACAGAACTTTCCTAAAATTAAGCCCACAAATTTTCATGTTACTAAATACCTAACAGTTCAAAACCACAAAGAAAACAAAACAAATGCCGCCCATAACGCCGTACCAAGTGAAAAGAACGCCAAGACAAGTCAACTGGTACCGGTCCAGTAACGTCACCGGGGCAATTACAACACAAAAATAAATAAATAAATTAAAAAAAATAAACGAAAATAATCAAACAGACCTGCTCTAATACCAGAAGCGCCGGCTTTCTTCAAGCCCTTCTTCTTAACAATGAAACTAGCACCGATAAAAACACTGGACGAGAGCGCCAAAACCAGACCTTTTATGTTATCCGATGACATGCCATCTCTCCAGCTCTGACTCGTTCCTGACGCCATTCACTGACGCCGGATTATCAACTCAGTCGCAACAACTCCGACTGAGCCACCAAATCCACTTCAACTCAGTCGATACTTAGTCGTTTCACAACAGCCAAAACGCGTCTATCGTCGACGTGATAGAAATGGAATCCTGCTTATTAATCTCTACTCAAATCGCCGTCGTTTCAGTACATCAATGAAGCTTACCTTTCCAGGTTCCAACAAACGAAGATCTTAGAAAAAAGAGAGTGCTGCTGAGGTGGTTTTGTCTTTACTAAAATCCGGCGTCGTTTGACTAATCAAGATTACGCTTCTCCAGTTCTCGTTTCAACTCAAAAGAGATCTTGAAGAAATGAAATTAAAAAGTTGCGGAAGAATACGCTTTAAACTTCGGTCAATTCGACATAGTTTCAATACTCTGTTTGAACTGAGGGAGATCTTAGAGAGACGAGAGATGAGAAAAGAGGAGAGTTGGAGTTGAATTGACTGGGCGGTGATTCAGGACGAGTAGATCTCGGGAGATTTGAAAAGATAGAGATTAGCGGAAAAAAGATCTATGTTGTCTTTTGTATAGCGTCGCGGTTGCATTAAAAACGGTGTCGTGTCGGTGAGGAGAGAGCGAGAGTGTTTGGTGGGAAGAAGAAGAACAGATGTGAAGGTGAGGAGGAGAGGTTTGAAGAGAAGTTAATTAGCAAAATAAGGACTCTTCTCCGACTCAGCGTTGATGACCGCTACGCTTTATCTTTCTTTCATATCCATCTTTGGCTACCCGATTCTTTCCTTTTTTTTTTTTTTACTTATTTGATTATATAATAATTAAAATTCAATAAAAAAATGCGAAGAATATAATAAAAAAGGTTAATTCGATAAATAATTGATAACATATTAATTATGGGTAGGGGTGAGCAGTTTTAGATATATGATATTTTTCGAAAAAATCGAAACCGAAACTTGTCGTTATCGTGTTTCATGCATGTTCCAAACGAGAATCATAGTATTCATTCCTATGGCAATGGAAATGAAAAACAAGAGATCATTTTTCTAGAAATATGGACAAATGGAAGTTTAACTCGTAAAGAAGCACTTCATGAAGCCTCCCGAAATTTGATTGATTGATTTATTCCCTTTCTACAGGCAGCAGAAGAAAACTTACATTTAGAGTACAATCAATACAAGGTTACTTTAACTTTTTTTACTTTTCATGATCGATTGGCTAAACTAAAGAAGAAAAAAGAAATAGCATTGAAATCCATTTTTATTGACCAATCAGAATTGTCTCCTAGGATCCATAATTATCTTAAAAAGTCTAATACACATACATTATTTGACCTTTTGAATAACAGTCAAGAAGACCTTATGAAAATAGAACATTTTCGCATAGAAGATGTAAAACAGATATTGGACGTTCTAGAAAATAAATAAAAAAACATTTCACAATTGATTTACTGAAAAGAAAAATCAATTGAATTTATTTCTTTTTTTTATAAAGAATAAAAAAAATAGAAAAACTAAAACGGTTTGCACCTTTAGCACAATTTAGATATTCGGACCAGAATTTAATTGAATAGAAATATCTAGGGAGAATTCACTGTGACTTTGAAGCGATTACTCCCTAGTAGAGTTGGTCAAGGACCAATCCCAAGCAGGCCCGGGATTGGTCCTTTTGGGACTGATCCCAAATGGGACCAGTCGCTCATGGGCTTAGGACCATGAGCAATTTCAAGACCGGTCCTATGGGCTTGGAAAAAATATTTTTTTCACCTGATCCTTTTTATATTTTAGGGACGAAACGAAATTTTGTAAGGGGTTTTTAGTATGTTTCAGGGGTAGATTAGTAAGTTTCTAAAAGTTTAACTAATTTTAAAAAATAATAAAATAATAAATAAATTAGTAGTTAATTTTAACATAAATGTAATATTCACATTTCACACATTCACAAATAAACAATTAAATAAATTTTTTTTATTAAATTATTCATCTTCATCGTCAACAATATTTACATCATTCAAATTTATATTCCTAAAGAGTTCGAGTAGTTCGGGATCTTCAGGGTGCTGTTGTAGTCTTCTTTCTGCATGAGTCCAATCCCATAAACACGTTATCACTTCAATCATCTCATCGGTTAAAGAACATCTTCTGTCTTCAACAATCCGGCCACTCGTTGAAAATGTTGACTCAGATGCAATTGTAGAAACCGGAATAGATAAAATGTCACGTGCCATTTGGGTTACAATGGGGAATCGACTTTCATGTTGGTTCCACCATTGAAGAATATCCATGTCATGTTTCTCCTTCATTGTCATAAAGGATAAGTTCACTTGTAGGTAGCGATTCAGCTCATTTGGTCCATGTATGTACGAGCTGGAGCTACTACTTCCGCCATGTTCCATATACATCCACTTGCTCGATCCTTGATGGAGGTTTGCATTAGGGTCCTGATCATCTCTCCTAAACGTTCCACTTCCACTTCCATTGTACCTGTTCTCATATAAAGAAAAAAGGCTATCCAATTTTTGTTTAAAGTCAGTCAAATAAGACGTATAATCATGTCCTAAATGCTGGCCTAACTCAGTAATTATACAGTTAACTACGTGTAATTTAAACCTAGGATCTACAACAAGGCCTAATCCATATAAGAATGGAATATCTAACCAATATTTCCCATATTTTTCGTCTATCTTTAAAACAATTTCCCTTAAAACGTTATTATATCTATATTTAGTAAAAATTTTATGCAATTTGAAGTAAAATATCTAACACTAAATTATTAGTCGGATAATAAATACCACTTAATGTATTAGTAGAATCATACAAAATTTTAAGAAATGAATAAAAAAGTTCACAAACCGCCCAATCATCATAGTTGACAACTTCCTCTGGATAGTGCTTTCGATTGACAAAATCTGTAATTTGTTTTGCGGTTGGCAAAGCTTTTTCAACATCAAGTAGGTGGAGTTCCAATGGATAGACATGTCCGTACATAACTTCAAAGGTCGAATCGGTGGGTCCTCTTGCTTACAATATTTAATGTACTCCGCCATCTTTTATTGCTACCGCCAACGATAAATCTGATAGTCACACGCATCCTCTCCATCTTCGAATGTATAGCATCTAAACCTGCTTTAACTATCAAATTGATGATGTGGCAAGCACATCTCTGGTGAAAAAATTTGCCTTCACCATGCAGATCCAATCTCTTTTCAAATAAAGAGATTGCCGCGGTGTTAGCAACTGCATTATCAAGCGTTAGCACTACAACTCTATCAGTTAATAAATATTCTTGCAAAACTTCAAGAATTGTAAAATAAATAGTTTTAGCACTATGTTTTTCATATAATTGTTTAAAACCCATCAATTTTTGTTGTAAACCCCAATTATGTCTAAGAAATGTACTGTGATAGTTAAAAAACCGATTTTTGATCTACAAGCCTATATGTCTGATATAAGTGCAATAGATGTATTCCTAAAATTTTGAAATTCGTTTTCAAGTTTATTATTTATTTTGTTAGAAAGTTTTAGTATATCTCTTCTACTTGTACTTCTACTAACAGGGGTATATGCTGGACAAAATGCAGTTTTAGTCATGTGAATAAAATAAGGATTTTCAGATAAACAAATAGGAGAGTCCGTAGCAACTATGAATCTTGCTATTTCCTCTCGTGCAACATCTACATTATATTGCCATGTTGAGAGAGTTGAGGATTGTGAATTAAAATTAAGTTGAGTTTGAATTTGTCTACCTGATCCGGTTGAAGATGCATCGGGCAACTGCATTATTTGTGGGTGCTTCTTCTCCACATGTTGTTGCATCGTTGAAGTCCCCTTCTCAGCGCCAATAATGGTTCCACATAAATTACATACCCCACACGATTCTTCCCCCTCCCCATTTGTCTTTGGCCGTTTTGATTTGGTGAAGTGTCGCCATAGATCGAACACGACCCTCTTTGACAGTCGAGGGGGGGGGGGGGGGGGTTCGGCTATGCCCGTGCCCGTTGACTCGCAACTCGCATGTGTTTGGCTACACCTCGTCCCAATCGAATATGGTTATGGAATTGTAGTTGCTGCCTCTATAGGAAAGGGTGAAAATGGATTAAACCCTTCCATTTCTTCGGTGGATGGAACGTAAAACTCATTTGGGGATGATCCTCGGAATGCATTATTTCGGGAATCCATTATGAATTTATGATAAAATAATAAATAATTAAAATGAAAATAAATTAAATAATAATATGAATAAGAGATGATATTGAAAAATAGAAAAAATTGAATAATATAAATTAATTAATTATAAATATAAATATGACCGTAGAAAGTAAAATTTTTTTTTTTTTTAAATAAATTTTGTAAAATTTCCTTTTAACCATACAATTTATGTTTATTTCAAAATTTATAGGGGGTTTTAGTAATTGTACAAGAGACTAAAACGAAAAAGTTTAAAAAAAATTTTGGCCTACGCCCGGGCCTTGGAGGAGGGCCCAGTGGAGGGATCGGGCCTCCTCCTTAGACCTGGTCTCGTTTTGGGACCAAGCCTCCTAGGATTGATCCTCTCAAGGACCGATCCTAGGACCGGGTTTTTGGACCCAGGCCCAAGTGCCCACCTCTACTCCCTAGATACACATGTCATCATATTTTACAATTTGACAATAGAATCAATTTAAAAAAGACATAAACAAAGACAAGGATAATCTTTCGAAAAGGTACTCTCTAAAGGAACCGATGAACAAATCAAAATAAAAGATCTGCTTTGACATGAAATGGATATATCCATATATTTGACTTGTATTTATGAAATGATAAAATATGGCAAAATCTATAAAAAAAAGTGTTTCACGTAGGACTAGACGGATTGGTTCACGTAAAAGTGCACGTTGAATAACAAAAGGCATTATTCATGTTCAAGCAAGTTTCAACAACACCATTGTGACTATTACAGATGTACTGGGGCGAGTGATTTCTTGGTCCTCCGCTGGGACTTGTGGATTCAAGGGTACAAGACAAGGGACACCCTTTGCTGCTCAAACCGCAGCAGGAAATGCTATTCGAGCAGTGGCAAATCAAGGTATGCAACGAGCAAAAGTCATGATAAAAGGTCCGGAACTCGAAAGAGATGCAACATTACGAGCTATTCGTAGAAGTGGTATACTTTTAAGTTTCGTAAGGGATGTAACCCCTATGCCACATAATGGCTTGTAATATCTCACTAGGCAAGTATTCACTGACTATCTTATAGAGAGAATCTAGAGAATTGCTAGCTTAAAAAAGGTGTTTGTCTAAAATTTTTATCCTTAATCCAGTTATAAAATACTATTACACAATGAATATTTCTCACATATATAAAAATAATAAGAATTCCAATGAACCGGAAAGCGTGAAGATGTTCTCTAAATATTATTACTACCAAAAATACATACATAAATCCACATTAATTCCTTCACTGAGATAGTGTGTGCAGCCCTCTCGCAAGCTTGACGTCTCTCGACCGCTACAATCTAATACTTGCAAAAATAAAGAAAGCAACAGGGTGAGCTATAAATGCTCTTTAAGTAAATCAAATTTAACTATGCTCTCACTCCACTGTCCCCGTTTTCGCTATACTGCTTCTAAATTTCTGCTTGCTTTCTCTCTTTATTCTCAGGTGCACTACTTAGCAATCTTCTGTTTTTCTCAAATCTTTCTAGTGCTATGCTATTCTTTATCATTTTATTTCTCTTCTCTGCTAGATTATATCTTTCTATTTCTTTCTCTACTCAACAAATCGCTA